GGGGCCTAAAATCTTTTATGCTTAAGAATTGCAAAGTGGATTTCTTAGGAAATTCCAAAACAAACCCAAAACAAACCTCATAGAAATCAGGGGTGTCCCAAAACAAACCTCATAGAAATCAGATCTTTTGTTGTAAAACGTGCGTTGTTACACCATTGGGAATTTATTATAGCTTCTAAAACGAACAGCAACACAAAAATGTAAAATTACAAATTCAATGACTACAGAGCAACGAGTATTTGTAGTAATATCATGATCGCTTCGTTTTCTATTGTTCTCATAGGGAATTTAAATCCCGTATTTTCCTCATTACGCATGCAACAGGGAATATTTCGCTTTGTCTACTAAATTTCCCCGGGAAATTTAGTAAAAAACAAAAGATTTCTTTGTCTACTAATCTTCCCTCATCAAAAATGCACGGGATGATTAGTAGACAAAGAAATCCTTTGTCTTTTACTAAATTTCCCGCTTCATATTTAATGCAAACGGAAAACGTAAAACACTCAACAATTTTATTCAACATATTAGATTTTAAATGTACACAAGTATGACTTTGCTAAACAATTAAACGTCAAACTCCAACTCAAGACCAACTGTAAAAGTGGCTCCTTGAAGCAAACCACTTAGATTTATAGATCCTCTGAAATTCGTTTCTTTCTGCCTGAAAATCTTTAAACTGCTCGTTCCTCTCTTTAACCCACGCGTTGTACATATTTGTACCCCACGTAGTGTGCCTTATGGTATTCTTTGGCACTCTATCTTTTCGAACATTTTCAACTGTCCGGTCTGACACAAAATAGAACTTTCCAGTTGTAGCCATATTCGAAAACTAAGTTTAAAATCAATGCAGTGATTTACGTAAGTCTCACAACAACAAAGCATGTCCCAAAGGTACACTTATTTCAATCAGTAGTCAAACTCATAAACAACTTCATTGAAAAATACAAAATCAAACAGCTAAACTTATCTCTGCAGCAAACTTTTTCGAGTTTTCCTCGGCGATCATAATATTACAAACTAATAACATGACTAGTCGGGAAATTAGCGATTAAATTTCCCTTCGCCTCGGGAAGATTTGTGAAAGTCCTCGGGCTTCGCCCTCGGACTTTCACAAATCTTCCCTCGGCGTCGGGAAATTTAATCCGCTAATTTCCCTCTAGTCATGTTATTACTTATAATAACAACTTATACGTTAACGCAAAGTGTGACCGAAGTGCAAGACGCGTTTAGAGTACGATTTCCTGATCGGAATCCACCTAACAAAAAGACGATTCTGAAAAACTTTCGTAAATACCACAACACAGGAACAAGCTTAAACCGCAACAAGGGCAATTCGGGCAGGCGAAGAACTGCTCGAAGTGAAGAAAACGTTGCTGCTGTGAGAGATCTGCTCGAGGAAACCCCACGAGGTGTTAGCGCTCGTCGTAATGCTGTTGAAGTTTCAAAATCAAGTTTCAACAGGATTACAAGATTAGATTTACGATGCCATCCTTACCGAATGCACGTACTGAACGAGCTATTGCCATGCAGATGACTTGCCACGTCGACTACACTATGCCCAATAGTTTAATCAACGCTGTCGAAACCCCAATTTTTTGCAAAGCATCATTATTGGAGACGACGCAGGATTTACAATGAATGGACAAGACTGGGGCCCAACACAAATTTTTCAGGGGACCCTGTGATATTGACATTTATTAGTTACATTGAAATGATACTCGTAAATAGCAAGCCTGTTTGCAGGCTATTAGGCATGGACCTTTGGGGGTAATAATTAACTGAAAGACTAAGACTATTGTTATTGTACATGTGTTCGGGGAAGACAATATATAAATTTACAGTGGTGGCAGCGGTGATTCTCGCTTTAAATTGTCGGAAATGGCAGAAATAAAACAAGCCTGTTATGACGGTACGGGAGATGTAGATTTGTGGCTTATGAAAATGAAGTTCTATTGTTCTACAAAGAAATTTGAAGGTAAACAAGAAGCTTACGCCATAGCGAGTAAACTCGAGGGGGCGGCGTTTCTATGTATTGCGAGATTAGACGATGAACTTCAAGATGACCCAAAAGAAGTTAAAGCCGCTTTAAGGAAGGAATTCGACAAAGAATCGATCGACCACGAGAAAGCTGTCGACGAATTACGAGGTTTAAGGCGAAAAGGCGGTGAAACACCAGCACAGTTAGTGTGGAGAATCGAAAAGTTGATGGCGAAGGCTTACCCGGAGTTATGCGCGTCAACACACGGATCGGCAAAGAAAACAAAGGAACAAATGTTACATGATACCTTTTTGGGAGCTATTGACAATGCAATGAGTCGAAAGATAAAGAGCGACAGTAAACATCGAGATTTAAATTTAACACAACTTTCTGAAGAATTAGATCGGCTCGAGCTAATTTATAAAACAACAGCGCCAAAAGTAAACCTCGAAGTAAACAATTTGAAAACGACAGGGGAAGCAGACGAAATATCGTTAAGAAAGATAATCAGAGAAGAGGTAGCAGCCGCCCTATCCAAAGAAAACGATGGAAGTCGGGAAACGGAGGACGAAACAAAACGTACGGTCGGGTTCGTTGGAAAGAGAAATTTCCCGCCAAAACCTAGGAAATTTCCCGCCAAAACCGGTAAAAATCAAGCGTGTTTCCACTGCCAGTCGCCTGAACATTTTCGGAAAGACTGTCCATTTAAAGATTTTTGTCAACGCTGCTGGCAAAAGGGCCATACAGCACCATCTTGCCATGCTACAAGCCCTCGCCCTTCGCCGTCTTTAAACTCCAAGGCGGCTGGGAACAATCGTCAGCAAAAATAAATTCGTTCTCAGCCGCGAAGAAATTTAT